GACCTAAATATATTCACTTCGGTTTTTGCCATCTTATCAACACATCTTATCAACAGTTTTCCATATCGTGGTAGCATGCTTGAGAGATATTCTTCGAGTATCTAGCATAACTAGATCTCCTGCTTTAATTTCAATTTGGTTAACTCTTCTTTTCTGATCATAGTATTGCTTTTGAGTGGCTTGAGCTTTGAGTAGATTCTTTGAGCTTGCTCAGTCATTAGTTGTCTCATTCAACAACCTCTTTAGTCTGTACATCAGTTCACACTTTCGAACATAAATATTTTTGCTATGGATGCGTTCCTTTATCCCGTTACCAATCTCAAAGGGAGAAGATCCCGTGGATGCGCTGGCAAGTGTCAAATGAGCATATTCTACGGTGCCTAGGCAATCTGTATAATCTGTACCATGATAAGATACCATACATCTACGAGCATCTTCAGCGACAAAGTTTTGTCGTTCAGTTTGCCATCAGCTTGAGCTCGATGTGCTGTTGTCACTAAGTCGAGCACCCATGATGTCATCAGAGATTCACAAAATGATAAAGTGAGCTTCCTATCTCTGTCCCTGATGATCAAGCTACAGCTTCAAAGAATGCTTTGGCTGTTGCAGGTGCGTCATTATTCGCATGCACTGCAGTGTACTTGGTACGTTTTAACAATTGTCGACAATAGTAAAAATTGCATCAAAATCATTGAAACCGGGAGTCCTATTATAAAATCCATTTACACAACATGCCAGTATTGCTCTGGAATTGAAATAGGCATAGGCAAACAAATTTGCGCTGATTATCATGCTTCCAGCGTGTACAAGTATCACACGTTTTGACGTATTCTTAAATATGATTTTGCACTATTTTCCAAAAATACCATTGCACAACGCGTAAGATTTCCAGGATGAGCAGCTATTGTAAACTCATGATATTGAGATACGACTTAAGTTCCCAAGCAATAGTTGTTCTGAACACTAAGTTTAGCATCTTTGAGATAAGTTCGAAGAAGTAACAATCCATAATGTTTAATGAACAATGTGTATGTATCAGACTTTGTCCATGCGTCTTGTTATTCAGGATCATTGGCATAACCTTGATGGAACATTTTACGAACGTCTGGAGACAGTTCGACATACGATGCGGTCATAATTACAGCAATTAGAAGTGACTTAGTCCTCTCCCGGATGCTCGCAAACGATAACCACGAGCTTGACAATTAGCATCACATTTGTCAATGCTGGAAATAGCAGATTCGTCTGGACGACGCGACAAGGCATCAGCTTTACGTTGGGAGCACCATTGATGTGATGGTTCGTAAACGTATGCTGGGAAATTGTTGTCAAATACTGTGGCAATTTTGCTGATATTTCTGGATGATGAAGGATCCTTGAACATACGCTATTATTAGTGAATATTTGAAACTGATGGCCGTAAAAATAATAACGCCATTAATCGAGACCAGCTTTAATAGCAAAAGTTCTTTTCTTGTGCCGACCAAATAATTTCATGAACGCAACACTTCTTTGAATAGAAGGATGATCGTGGCCATTTACAAAACGCAAAAAGACGCCTACAATAATACACAACTCTGACGCATCCGCAGTGAAAGCGAAAGAGCGTGAGAATTAGGTAAGGTGAGTAGAGGTGAGAATTGGAGAGCAGACTCAAGACTAGCAAATGCATCATCTTGGTCCTTACCCCAAAACCAGTGTGTGTCGTTCTTCACAAGTTGGCTTAACTGCAGAACAATCTGAGCAAACTGGTGGTAATAACCAGCTCAATCGAGAAAACTTTGAAGTTCCTTGACTGAAGATGGAGCTGGACATTTAGCAATTGCTTCAGTTTTGGAATTGTCAACGGACAATCCTTTCCCTGATACAGTATAATCCAAAACGCAAACTCTTCCAATGCAAAATGACACTTCCCAATATGTGCATAAAGCATTTATTTGCGCAACGTTTGAAACGCTGTCTTCAAATGAGCTAAATGTTCAGCTGAAAACACACAGATATTATCCAGCTATACGACAATAAAAGGACATTTTCAGAAAAGAACTCGCATAAGACGTGACCATACTCCAGCCATTCCTGCAAGACCCATTGGTGCAACACACCATTAATAAATTTTATCACTTGTAAACAAGTGCTGCCACTTGTAAGGATCGTTTTCACTTATGAAGTGTTGGACGGTAGTTGGCGAATCAAGAAGTGAGATTATTTGTTAGACTGATTCCTACGATATATGTAAACTATCCAATTCTTCCTACTTTTTCTTGTATACATGTCGTTCCTCCTATGATGTCGCCTTTTCTTAAACTACTATGAATACATATCTGTACCATCTCTTCTTGAACGTGGGTACATTCTTTATACGTCAACATGAGAACTACACTCACTTATATTCTATAATGTCTTCTAGAGTCAAAGAACATGTGATTGTGATTCCTTACAAGGACAGAGTAGGTAGGGCAAATTCTGCCTTGCCGAGATACAAATAATGACATTAGGCTGCAATTACATGTAACGCTGACAGCGTCTCAAATGTATCAAGACAAGCCAAACTTCCGCAAACAAGCTGGTAATGACTTGCGTCACTACAAATGCTTGTTCTCGCAATAACTTGTTCTCTGTTGCTAAGCGTTTAAGGCACATGAAGTGTGAGCTCTGAGCAAGCTAATGTTTATCTCTAACACGCAATCATTTTGCAATGACCGAGCTTCAGACATATTAGTACTCTGTACCGCTGATGCAATCTCGATGATAACGGAAGTGATGAAAGATTATCAAATCAGCTCATTTATCACAGCTTTGTAAAGAAATTTCAAATGTTAATTTTAATTCAAACTTAAGGCTATCTGAATATTCAAAAAGAGTAAAGACACATCGAAATTGGTGAAAAAACTTCTAGAAATAAAAGTCATCGTGGGCATAAACTGAATGCGACCTGATAGTGTTCTTTCGCAAAGTAGCCAGCAAAGAATGCAATGAATTTCGCAATAGATATCCCAGCGAGTCTAGGCAAGTGACGCTTCAAAAGGAGCAGTCGATTATATGTGGGCATGTAGTATAGCAAACAGTGATGTTACGATCGTCGACATTCGATACGCACGATTATCTATTGTCATGATTGAATTGTTCGACATCAAGGTTAAGGCTAACATTTTGTTGTACGTTGTGTGTCAAGATGGGAGTCTATAAATATTCAAATTTAATTGCATACACATGTTAAGCGACTAAAAGATGATATATCTGACGAGAACACAATCAATTATATGGATGCGGAACAATACACAGGACGCAAAGCGAATTTCAATTACGACAAGACTTCTACTACATCTAAATGGTAGATAGATAGATATCTTAGAAGTTTCTGCGCAGACGACGGTAGTTGCCAGCGTTCGCACCGAAACTAGCACCGATTCCATGTCCAGCACCTACACCCCCTACACCATGACCATTACCAGTGAAACCTGTACCTGCGCCAAAGCCAGAATAGCCAGCACCTGCACCGGCACCGGTACCAAAGCCAGCGTGCGCACCAAAATTACCACCTCCGTAATGATCAGTGCCTGCTCCAAAGCCAGCACCGGCTCCAAGACCCACACCGGCACCAAAGCCACCTAGATTACCGCCTCCGTAATGATCAGCGCCTGCTCCAAATCCAGCACCTGCACCAAGACCCACACCGACACCGGCACCATATCCAGCGTGTGCACCAAGATTACCTCCTCCGTAATGATCGACTCCTGCTCCGAAGACAGCAGCTGCTGCATCATGACTGGCATCGACACCGACACCGTAGCCAGTGTGCGCACCGAGATTACTGCCCCCGTATTGACCAGCGCCTACTCCAAAGCCAGTTCCTGCACTAAGATCAGCGCCAGCACCATGGTCAGCACTGTAATCAGCGTGCGCACCAAGATTAAGGCCTGCCCCAAAACCAACACCTGCGCCAAAACCACCGACACCGAAAGCACCTACACCGAGGCCAGTACCATGACCTGCGTGCGCACCAAGATTAGCGCCTCCGTAATGATCAGCGCCTGCTTCAAAACCAGCACCTGCTCCAAGATTGGGGCCTACACTGAGATCGGCGCCTGCGCCAAGGTCTACGCCTGCATTGAGACCACTGTTGGTGTCCGGACTGACAAACGTGCCTGTGCTGGTACTTGCATCGCCTTGCATGGTGGACGAAGCATCCACGTCTATATCACTCTGGATAGCATTGTTTGAATCGTCGTCTGGTTTAGTCGAAACATTATGATCGACGTCTTCTAGACCACCGTTTTCAGGTTTACTTGAAACATTACTATCGACGTCATTCTGCTCAACGTCATTCTGCTCAACGTCATTCTGCTCAACGTCGTCTAATGTGCTAATGACGTCGGTGCTGGTTGTGCTGTCGTTGAACATGTTACTTTGAGATTCCGTTGGGTTTGGAGCAGACGTGTTGACATCATCAGTCAGCGTATTGGTACTGTCAATCGATGCAACTTCGCTGGTCGTGGATTTGTCAACTGTCAAATTGGAATCGTCACCATTTTTGTCATCACTTTTGTTTAACGAAGAAGCGCCATCATCAATAACAGTTTGAGTGACATTGGCAGGAGCAGACGTGTCGGTATTGCTGCTAGCAGGGACCAGCGTACCATTATTGATGTTAGCAGGGACTGAAGCGTCAGTTTTGAAGCTATCTGGGACCGGCGTGTCGTTTTTGATACTTGAAGGAGCAGGGGAATTCGTGTTGGTGTCAGCAGGAGCAGGGGTATTCGCATTGGGACTAGCAGGAACAGGGGTATTCGCATTGGGACTAACAGGAGCAGGGGTATTTGTATCGGTGTTGGCAGGAGTCGGAGCATTATTAATGACATTAGCAGGAACGGGGGTGTCGATATTGGTGTTAGCCAGGGCAGGGGTATTGCTGTTGGCACTGGCAGGGGCTGTGGTATCATTATTGCCGCTAGAAGTGACTTTGGTCTCATCCGAAGAAGTCGACGCATCATTTTTCACGCTTGTTGTGTCCTGTTCAGCTGTAAGAGTCGTGGAACTGACATTGCTCGCGCTGGTGTCGTTCACGATAGGGGCTTCAGTTTCCCCGTTTATAAGAACGGAAATTCCATTGTTTGCGTTAAAGGTAGCGATCATATTGCCGGACGATGCAGGAGTGCTGCTGCTTACGCTTGTGACTCCATCGACATCGTTTATAGGGAGGGGAGCGTCGTTGTTGACACCGGTTGAGACTTCTCCATCGGAAGAAGCCGGCATGTCGTTCTTTTCGCTTGTAGTGCCTTGTTTCCCGTTGGGGGGAGTAGAAATAATACTACTTGTGCTAGCATCAATTTGATCATTGGGGGAATGATTGATGTCACCGTTTTCGTTAAAGGTTGTCTGTTCCCGGCTTAAAATGTCATGACTAGCGGTGGTCGTGACTTCCACGTTGTCGATTGATGCAGGAGTGTCGTTATGTGCACTTGTGGTACCGTCCACTTCATTTGTAGGAAGGGGAATGTCAGTACTCGTATCAGTAGACTCGTTCATTTCATTTCGCGATTGATCGGGTTTTCTGGGAATGTTCCGGCTTAGATCATCGTCTATGGCTGGGTTATCCTTCCTTATGTCATTCAAATCGACAGGCACGACTGGAATGGCAGGGGTCCCGTCGATAACGCTACTTAAGTCATTCAAAGGGACCGGCAGGTTGTCACTATAGGCGTCAGGTTCGTTGATAGGTCGAAGAATGCTGTCAGAGTCATGATTTTCATACGAGGATTCAGGATTGATATCAACACTGGGGTTTGGACTCTCGTTCGGAATACCAGACTTTTCGATCAAGTCTACCTGCTGAACAGCAGACTGGTCATCAACACCGGTCGGAACAAGAGGAAGTAGTTGCACGGGAACACTTGGAGCTGGAGTTGGCGCATCGTGAACCATTTCACCTTGCTGAACAGCAGACTGGCCATCAACATCAGTCGGGACAAGAGGAAGTAGCTGCACGGGAACACTTGGAGCTGGAGTTGGCGCATCGTGAACCATTTCACAGTCGGTCGCACGCGCATCAGCGGTATGAACAGCGAAGGCAGAAATTGCGGCGGCTACTGCAAAGAGTTTGGAGAACTTTTTGCACGAAAGCATTGTCTTTGTAAATGCGGCTTAGATCTGGTTAGACAAAGGACTCGAGTGGTCGAGTGCAAGTTTAATAATGAAAATGTAGGTGGTGAGCGGAAACAACGCTGTAAAGGCTCGTTAGATCCATGTGCTTTAAGCGGTACAGATATGACCACATGGAATTGCTAAACCTGATTTCATCCAAGTAGCAATGGCATTGTAATCAGCGACAAAAATATGCAAACCAAATGGATAATCACACTTTTTTTTTAGGTCGGGATAGGCCGTGTAAGGGAGGCAGGTTGTAATGAAAGGGAGTCAAGACGCCAGCATGACTCAAACGACCGCTTGCGTATGCTACATTCCTATGCCAACCTCGATATACCTAAAAAAAGTCAAGCAAGCTAAAAAATCTGCAGGAGTGACGAAAGAATGATGGAGACGTCTGAAGTTTCTATAGTAATGACGAGATAATAAACAGGTTCATCACGATACATGTAATGCTAGACTAACTACTCGAAAAGTACTGCGTCCACTAAAAAAAAATTAAAAATACCTTATGGTCTGTTACTATCAGTACCCATGTGTAACAATTGCTTCTACTTTGATCTAGACGAACAGATGTATCTTAAAGCTAATGGTGCAAAGCAGTGAGTAAGCGAAGTAACCAGAATAGACTTACAAGCAGAAGCAATTAGTATCATCCAAGAAGACAAAGTTGTTCGATAGCAACTTGCACAATAAGAAAGCGTTTTTGTTCGAGTGATGCACCATTGACTAAGCTTCAAATTAAACATTACAGTGTCTCATCTTGCTGCATTACGCCGCTCGTCGATATACACACTATATCAAGATTTTGGAGCTTACATATCCGGTGACAACATGTAAAAGCTGAAGAGATCGAAGAGATTATACATGTTAAACATAATGATAGCATGAATCACATTGTTCATCATAATCCAAAAAGCGAATCGAATAGGTACTGATTCGGCCAACCAGTCGGCATTTTATCAGTATTTCAGACGAAGAAATCACGCGCAACAAAAGCATAATGCTCGCTGGTTACCATGTTTGATCCTTATTACGTTTCCTGTTGATCTGTTTTTTATTCAGTAGTTCAAACTTCCAAGAACAGCTTGAATGTTTTTATCGGAGCCGACAAATCAGACTCACGGAAATACTTTTAATCCTGGGTGCCTGAGGTGATACAAAATCGTTGAAGCATCAGCATTCAAAATGGCTTTAGATGACGTTCACATGTGTATTCATCACATATGTTCTGTCATATCTGTGTTTCCTTGAAAATGGCCTCCGTCTATACCAAGGGCTGTTTATTCTCTAATAAGTTTGCCGTCATGGGATGCAGATCACTGCATTGCATGCGCGAATCGTCTGAGACTAAGCTGGCACGCAAGTATGATTTTGCTCGCGTCCATTTTAAGAGTCGGCAAAGCCATGGCATTTTTTTATTAATTCAGGTCTCTGAAAAGGTCTGCCGCAGGTGGTTGACTCAAACACATCTGCATTAGGTTTTGATACTGTTATAATTAAAATATGATTCGTATGTCATCGCAATCATCAAAGTTCTCTCGTCAGCAGCGAAATCATCTGCATCTCACACCTCGTAATCAATCTGACAACGATTATAGCAGGCTATAGTTTTGTGAGGCTAGAGCATACATTTTTATCTGTCTAACACCACGCTAACAAGCCACGCTTAAGAGCTCCTTAACAGTGACGGGATAGAGATCACGCAAGCTCACGCAACGGAGCTCGATCGTGGGAACACGAGTTGCGGAGGAAGTCATTAAGCCAGGAGATTGCGCGCGCGGATACAAACCATATGCAGTGCCTCGAAGTATCGGCCATATTCTTTTAAATCGACATTGTTGAGAGCTGTAAACTGCCAAACAGGGCTTCTGACGTGTAGCCGGGATGCTAGCTACACATTATCCGAAATTCATAATGGTTGCAGAGTAGGTGGTGAACAAACATATAAAAATCCGAAACGGGGAAGAGGCTTTCAGAGCCCGCCAAATAATTTGAGTCTCAGCAATACTGAGTATAAGGAAATTTCCTTGGCGCCTTGATATCTGCAGGATCCATATTTGATAGAATCGTATACATTTTGCGTTTGATCAAAATGGATGAAGAATCAGACTCCCACGCCAATCTAGTCGACGAACGCCTCCAGCTGAGCTTTATTATATAAATCATGGGGGTAGATATAATGAGCTGTACTTATCCATTACAGGAAAAAACGTTTATATACCTCTGTATGCATATATAAAAAAGATTACAGTATGGTAACACCATATACATATGTGAACACTGTATATGAAGTCACGAACATTCTGTGTGATACAGTATGGGGGTTGTACTGGTAATGAGACCAACAAGTTTCTGGCTGTAGAACAGGGTGACCTCAGTCAATCACTTCTACTTGTTACCTTTTAAAAACGATAAAGCTCAAGATATTCGAAGCTTAAGCTCCGCATACAATCGATTTTGTACAAGTTCAAGCTTCGGTTCAGCCTCGGTCCAGCCTGTGCAAGCCAGGAATCCAACATGATATTAGTAAAATCACTTAAAGCCCTTGAGGTGTTTTACATGTTGCTAGATTTCATTATCTCATTTTAACACAGTTGCAAAATAACTTTCAAGGTCTTAGGACGTTTCTTTGCTCCCTCAAGTCGGGACTGTCCTTCTCTTTTCACACGGATACCGCTTCCTCGTCGCACAAGCGTGTGGATTGTTTTGAAAAGCTGTTACGAACAGTGCCCCCAACGTTTGAGGTCAACGTGATCCAGCTCTATTTGGGACGACGCACGGTAATCCAGGGTGTGTCTACCGTATACGATGGTGCACATTTATACACTCTCGTTAGCGGTA